CAATAAACAACTTTACGGGCAATGCTGTTCAAATTTTATTGTGTCGTGACAACGTTTCGAATACACTTTGGCAGTCCTTCTCAAGTCTCTAAATTTAACAAAATAAACTTTTAAGAATCACAACAGCTTCAGTAATTTCTAAATTTCTTCTTATAAACATAGTTTTTACAAAGAATAAATAATTTATTACACTTACAAATTCGACTTTGACAAAAATATTACTGAGCAACGTCAATTTGTATAAGTTACATCTTTTCTTGCTCGTAAGTAATGTCTATAGACAATAAGAAGGCTTACAGGTAGTGCTAAGTTTCAATGCCAGTATGTAACAAGAGGCAATCACACAAGTAACTAGCAGTAGTACAACACAATAGTACAGTATAAAGTACGCAATATTCCAAAGTAAAACGGACACGTGTTTGATCAAAATTTATCCTTTTACCTTTAAGCAATGTTTTATAAAATACTTAAAAACAGTACTTAATTTATTTGTATCTGTAATTGTATTTACGGTATCGAATTTTGTAATATAAGCCATTTCTGAAACTAACCTTTTGTGAAGAGAAGATTCTCGATCCAACACCCGTACCGAGTCAAAATCGAAGGTGTGTCCACTGTTCTTTATATGCATATACACAGCCGAGGACTCTTTTTTATTTTTGCAATNATCGAATTTTGTAATATAAACCATTTCTGAAACTAACCTTTTGTGAAGAGAAGATTCTCGATCCAACACCCGTACCGAGTCAAAATCGAAGGTGTGTCCACTGTTCTTTATATGCATATACACAGCCGAGGACTCTTTTTTATTTTTGCAATCTCTCATATGTTCATGAATTCGAATGTCAAGTATTCTTTTAGTTTGGCCAGCGTAACTTTTATCACAATCTTTACACTTGAAAGAGTATACAGTGAAATGTCCTTCAAGGTTATTAATCTTATCTTTGCCCAGATCATTTAATACTTTTAATTTATTAATAGACTTGAAAATAACTGTAAGATTTATTTTATTTAGATATTTTTTAAGAACTAGATCAACACCTTTTACGTAGGGCAATACTACAAATCCTTTAGTTGACGTGTGACACTCTATTCTTTGACAGTTCGCAGATTGGTACATTAATTTTTTCAACCGTGATTTCATATGTTTTTCTATAAAGGCTCTTGGGTAATTATTTGCTTGTAAAATTGCTGATACTTTCTTTAAATTTTCTCTGTGGAAGGAAGAATGAGCAAGTTTAATTGCTCGGTCCACCAAGGAAAAAATAACACCAATCGTTTGTGATGCAGGCGGATGAGACAAAAAATTCAAGTAGATATTTGAATAGGTGTCTTTCTGATACCAATTAGTAATAACATTTTAAGTATCTTATAAAACATTGTTTAAAGGTAAAAGGATAAATTTTGATCAAACACGTGTCCGTTTTACTTTGGAATATTGCGTACTTTATACTGTACTATTGTGTTGTACTACTGCTAGATACTTGTGTGATCGCCCCTTGTTGCATACTGGCATTGAAACTTAGCACTACCTGTAAGCCTTCTTATTGTCTATAGACATTACTTACGAGCAAGAAAAGATGTAACTTATACAAATTGACGTTGCTCAGTAATATTTTTGTCAA